GACTGATAGCGGTGAGGGTTATAAACTTATCGACTCGAAGATCCTGAGATCAAACGGCACAGAGAAACCCCAATTTTCTCCACCTCGTTGCATCACAGGGCAACCGTTTAATTACCCGCTTCCCGTTCCTGAAAATTGTTTGTACAAATATGTATTCAACAAAATCCGTTTTGTAGAGAGCAAAAGACGCATGAACTGAAAAGCAGCAAAGAACTGGACAGTAACTGTTTCGACCTGATTGGGCTGTATCCGAAAACGTGAATCCATTGAACCAAATGGGGATCGAACCCAGGAACTCACAGACAGAAAGCAAACATGCTACCCACTCGGCCACGAGGAATCTGATTAGATCGATTTTCATCTTTCATTTATACGGCATAACACAATCCATCTTTGTGAGCATGTTGCGGGCATCGCGCCTCACTCATCTCNTCATCTCAGCACTAACCTCCGGGGTTATACCTCGATTGGAAACTTTCAAAACCTGACTATTAGTTACCTGAGAGTAATGGAATGATCCAACAGAAAACTACAGTATACGCATACCTCACGAGCGGTCAAGGACCGCGGATCTAGTTGTATGCTTCTGAGAAATTTTGTCCAGTCAATCGCATACTACTTATACACACATACATACATACTCATATATAATGTATATAAGGGTGGGGCTTGGTTAAATTTTGACGAAACCTCTGTGACGAGTGTGGTAAAAACAAGCAATTTTCCGATGAAGGGCGTGAACCCGTTCTTTAATCGATTTACCAGAATGAAAAGGGAGAGGTCTTCTTGTGAAAATCACTGAATCTTTGAAGTTCTGTCATGATACGTGCTGTCCGTGGGAAACTTTATACGTACAGTTAGACCGTTTCTTGTGTGCAGTGTCCCTCTCTCCGACCTACTCAACCATTGTTTTACTCAACATTGCATTCTGGACTGCTGGAGAGTGACTTCTCTCACGCCAGTACCCAAATTTCGCCCGATTGCTTGCATTTCTGTTGGTTTGAAAGTCATGGAAAAGATTTTACCACAGAATATGTTGTCCCAGCTGAATACACTTGATCCCACTCAATTTACCTATCGCAGTGCCAGATCACCCATCGATGCGTTGGCATCCCTTATTCATTATTTAAAGCCATTTGGCTGTATTTATTTGATTATAGGGACACCTTTCATTGTGTTTATGGGTCCAAACTTTTTCACACTTTCTCTGAAAAGGGTATTCAGTCGGAGCTTACCAATCTGTTACGTAATTATTTCATCCATCACTTACAGTTTACTAAATATGAGGATCGCAACTCTTCACTTTTGTCCTCCACTCAAGGAGTTCTTCAAGTTGCTACTCTCTATCGCTTCCTGTTCACAACCTATATTTCTTCCATGCCTGCTTTTGATGATTGTTTGCTAATTATGTGCGCCGGTGATGTTGTGCATGGTATGAAGTTTACGAATTCCTCCGTGTACCCAAAACTTATGCAGAGTATTTCCTTGCTCATCGACTGATCTTCACAAGCCAACTTTAAATTAGATCCTTCCAATTGTAAAGATAACTTATTTACTTTGCTGAACGGTGTTCAATACATGGATATGACGAACTCTTGCCACCATATCATTATCAATGAAGAATAAGTTTCCACAGCCATATTCCGTAATCTTTCTTGGTCTCCGCATGTCGTTGAGATATTTCGCAAAGTCAAGAAAACGCAAGCTTTGCCTCATCCGTTTGAAAATTCTACATACCCCAACTCACTTAATACACCATTTTATTTTCTCTTATATCCTTCTCCACTGGCTTTATGCATCCCCAGTTATTTTTCCGGGTCTTTGAATCAAAGACTTCAAACTCACGCGTACATTCATTAACCACGTATGTCAATACAGCGGCATACCTCGTGGGTATGTTGTGCACTTTATAGTTTCGCAGTACTTTAGGGCTTGCCAGAACCTTTCTACCAGAATACAACTAGACCCATCTCACCCCTTATATATTCATTTTAGTAAATGTATCACCAAGTCTGTCACGCGCTCCAAGTATAAGCCTATAGCAGCACGCAACACACCACACAAGTCTTCTGTAATACTATACATACTTGGCACGGTTTCTTACCAAAACCGATCATGTCACTGGAATCCAAAAACTGAAACTTTGCTGAACTTTTTTGTATATGCATCATTCATTTTGTTTCTACTCTGCCATTTCCACTGGTGAAGAGTGATTGCATAACGGCTGAGTATTCATTCTCCATGGGGCGAATTAAGGTGGCATCCTGACTTGACTTGAGGAGGCACAATCATGAAATGTTCGACTTTCATAGAATGTGATCGTTGAGGTATACAGTTAAGCGATTCACCGGATAAGTTTTATCTATTTATTATACGGTAATATCCAGTTGGAATGGAATCAGTGATCACATCTAAGCGCATCATATATACAAGCCAAGTCCGAACGTAGACGTGGTTAAGGAGTGAGCCTGTTTTGAGAAGGGACAAGCAAACTGAAAGTTACTACAGTCAATGGGGAATACATGGTCTAATNACACACACACACACACACACACACACACACACACTCCTTTTCGAGCATTATGGCTTCACATGAAAGAACAACAAGAAAGCCACTGCCGTCTTTTTGGCTGTCACGTCCTGCCGGACCGTTTTGACTCCATCATTTGTTTGGAATATGGACTGCACTTCTTATAGTGTTATCGATTGACTGCCCGAATACTGACTGCTATCACGCACGTACGCACGCACGCTCGTCACGCCGACTTGGTTCATGGTTCAATATCGATTTGCGTCAAACAATCAGGCTTCAGGATTGAGTTGTCCGCGTGGATTGATTCGTTTTGTCCGCCTGATCGCATTCCGATTATGCCTAATGCCTGTACTTGCAATAGGCAATCTGTTTGTGTTGTATTGCACTGACTTGTACAAACAATTATGCCCGTATATCAGTAAAAAAACGATTTTTCTCGTTGCAATGTGACAAAGAGAGAGAGAAAAAGCCGTGTAAAACAATGATAAAACTTAGACAAACGATCATCTTTGCTTGCCTGCTCTGCTTAGATCTGTGTCCAACGCTGTACCCAAGTACTTAGCACGGTGATTTTTAATTCCAAGGCATGGAGTTACCTGTTTATTCAGTTTTCTCACAATGAAATACAGAATAAATGCCAACCGATAGGATTCCTCCGAGAACAATGTTTTCGAGGCAGGCAACAGTTGGAACAAGGTCAACGATAGTCAAAATATGACCTGATATGAGACAATGAGAACCCCGACCGGGAGGGGGAGGTGAGAGCGGAATGGCTCATCTGGGTCGTTTTGGGTATCCTAGTTCGGAACCCTCTGACAAGTCTTATCAATGATTAGAAACACTAAGTGAAATGATGCATGCGCATCTACTCACGTTTTATGCACATCAACTAGTTTGGGTATGAAACCAAGATTTCCGGATATAACTTCAAACCGTTAGACCATCATTTCCAGCTACCTCAGCATCAATTCCAGTTGTCCAGCTATCAAATCCAGTAGT